GGGGGAATAAAAGAACATGGCATTTCTACCTTTACTTTTGGGCAATTGCTCTCTGTATTAGCCCTAAAAATTCAATATGGGTATGATTGTCAATTCATAACAACTCATCATGTGAGAACTGAGGGGGTAAAGTGGTAAATCGCCAGAATGGGATGATGTTCTACCTGTATTCTCCATTCAAAACTTCCCTTGAATTAGTAGTGAACTTCATGCATGCTTCGGTAGCTTATTCGTTTGACATCTGTTTCTCAGCTCGGGGTTTCTTGGAAATAGCTTCTCTGCTTCACAGTAGGGGTAAGGTCTGCGTAACACGCCCTCCCCATACCCTCCCTACTTGTGGGATTTTACTAGGTTGTTTTTGTTTTTGTAGAACTAACTTCCCATGAATTGGTGTAGACAAATGTGGCTCAACTTTCTGGGTGTGCAAAAAATTAGGTTTCCTGTTTTGGCATCCTCTTGGCAACAAATTTGGCTTCGGTAGACTTCCCCTCCGCTTCGAGTCTAAGTTTTAAAACCTCTAAGCACTCAAAAGGCACTTTATCTTCCCTCTCCAGTAACTCATAGTAAAGCTCAAAGGCTTCTTCAACTCTGAAATCTTCTTTGCAGAGTGCAGTCAAAAGATTGCTGCAGATATCCATTCCTACACTCTGGCCATTCTTTAGGCCAAAAAGTAACAGTTCTCGCGCTTTAGATAACTCCTTCCTCTGCGAAAGAAAGACAACCAGCTCTTCAATGTTTACCAAATACCCTTTTTCATATAGACCTTCAAGAACCCCAAACGCCCGTTCGTGCAGACCGGATTTGAGAAGTACCCTCACGGTTTCTGTCGAGAGAGTGATGTTTGGTCTGATTTTCTTGTGTAACATTAACACCACTAAATCGGCGCACTCTAGAGCGCACCCCTGTTTGGCGAGCTCAGTAAGAATGTCGTGGAAAATTGATGTTTCAGGAAGATGGGAGCTTTTCAACATCTTTTCAAGGGTATTGTAGGCGAGTTGTGGTTTGGCTTCGCGCAACAGGCAGTGGATCAGAGATTCATAGGTTTCATGGTCCGGCACGAAGTTTCTCCTCAGCATCCAAACCAAAAGTTGGTGTCCATCGCCAGAGGCCCCCTCTTTGCAATGTCCCATGATGAGAGTCTTGAAAGTACAAGGATCTTGAACTCCTATCTTCATTAGCTGTCTAAAGACTTTGTCGGCCTTCTTTGTCTTCTTGTTGTTGCACAAATATTTGAACATGGGGTTGAATGCTGCGACAATAGGTCTGCTTCCAGATTCAGATAAGACGGCCTCTGAGTCAAATAAATCATCGAAAAGTTTCTCAGCTGCCTCAAAATCTTCCTTCTCACACAAGCATCTTATCAAGATACTGAATGTGGCTGAATCAGGATGAACTTTTAGAACAGACATCTTCTCATAAGCTTCTAACGCTGCTTTCATGTTCCCTTCTTCGCAATGCTTGTTGATCACAGTGTTGAATGTACACGTGTCGGGAACGAACCCTCCTTTCTCGCTAGCCATCTTGAATAACTCCTTCACTCTGTCAAACTCCTGAGCCTGGATAAGGCCATGTATGAGGGTGTTATAAGTTATGTTATTTGGTTCTAAGCCAAGATCAACCATCTCTTTCAAAACACTCAAAGCCTCGTCGATGAATCTGTTCATGCAATATCCTTTGATCAAAGTTGTGTAAGTAACAACATTAGGGGTCAGATTTGAGCCCCTTTTAAGCATTCCATCGACCACGTTTCGCGCGACTTTCACCTTCCCATCCCTACAAAGACCATCAACAAGGGTGTTGTAGGTGATCACGTTTGGCTCGCACTCGTGCTTCTCCATTTCCTTAAAGAACCTAAACCCTTGACTCACCATAGAATTCATACAACACCCTTTGATCAAAATATTAAACGTATGCAAATCGGGCTTCACTCCAAATGTCTCAAGCATTTCATCATACAGTTGGTAGACCATGCCGGTCCGGCCCCTTTTCATCAGAATTGAAAACAGGGTATTGAATGTAACTGCAGATGGGGAAACCCCCATTAGCTTCATCGTTGTGAAAAGGGTCACAGATTTTTCAAAGAGGCCAGCTAGGGCATAGTGCTTTATCAAACTGTTAAAGAACCTGGCTTCAAGCTTCACGGCGCCTTTGGATCTATCAGGGATGGAGAAGAGGAAGTTCCTGGCGGAATTAAGGTTCCTTTCTCTGCCGAGGAGTTCCAGCATGAGGAAATAGCCCTGGGATGTGAGTTTAAAGCCGCTGTTTTCGGCCCAGGCGAAGAATTGCAGGGATTTCCGATGTGCTTTGATGAGGCGGAGGGTGTGAAGAATGGTGATCTCGGAGAGAATGGGGCCGGAGATGGCGGCGAGAGAAGACTCCGTTTCCTTTGTCCACGGCCTGAACTTGATCAGCTGAGCCATTGCCAGAGCTTTCTTTCGCGAGCTTAATTTCGGATTTGCACCGTCGACGCCTTCTGCGCTCTCTTCTTCAACGGCGGCGGCCGGGCGGGCGGCGGAAGGTTTGGAGAATACATGGCTGAGAGTAGAGAGGAAATACTGGGGTCTTCTTCCATCATTGGGATTAGGGTTGAAGACCTTCCTCAGCCTTGGAAGGTTAGGAGCCACAGTCATGTCGCGCAGAAAATTGAGCTCTCCGTTTACGGAGGTCGCCGGGGAAACGGCCGCTGCCTGCTACGGCGGCGGACGCTCTAGTGTAGAGTTTTCGTACTAGAGATTCTATAGAAAAATGGCAAAGTGGTTAGTGCGAGCCTGCCATGGTTTGTTTGGATGAGAGGTTTTCATTTGCAAATTTAGCATTGGGCCATAGGCAAACCAAAAAATTGAATTGCCCATCCCAAATCTCTACACAACAATGTGATTCTAAGAGGTTAAATTACAGTATAATCTCGATTTAATAATCTCGATTTATTATTCATAAATTTATCATCATAATATCTTCACCTGATCTGATTGATTCTGTGTTGATTGCAATACGTTTCGATTTAATCTGATCCGATCAGATTTCAATAAAAATAAATACTCCGTAATAAGTAAAAAATAAATTGATGACACAGATACTTAGAAGTTGGAAATCATCCCAAGCAATATGAGTAGATTTAGGACTTGTGTAATTATTGAAGAAATATGGAAACAAATAGTGAGGGGCGAGGGAGTCCCACAGAAGTTCAACCAGAGAACATCATGTATTACTCGCTAGTTTCAATTCCTGACAACTGTGTTTGAAGATAATTATGTTAAGCATAAACATCTACAAGCATTAGATGTAAACTTTTTTTTTCCACTAATCTACAATCAAAATCTAATATATTTCATTTCAGTAATCGTTCAGCTGGGTTTGAGGCGACCCTCAATCTCGATTTAATAATCTCGATTTGTTACAAGTCTTTTGGGTAGCACCCAAATAATAGGCCCATTACTATTCAACTCGAGTAAAGTATGAGTAGCCCAAAACGAAGCCCATCAGATTGCAATGGAAATATGAAATCGACGGCCTTTTAGATACATACCCCGCAGTGAAAAGCATACACGGCACACATAGATCCTTCCAGCCCGAGGATCTTACTCCGCCCCGGAAAACGCCGACGAATCGAAACGCTTATCGCCGCCGGTCTCCGCCACCATGTTCAGACACACTTCTCGATTCCTTGCTCGAACTGCAACCATGAGGTGGCGCCGCCCCTTCTCCACCGATCTGCCCACGGAGGCAAAGGCGGACCCTGGTTTCGTGGATGCCTGGAAGAAAGTAATCCCTAACGTTGATCCACCAAACACTCCATCGACGTATATGAAATCTCGACCCGCCGCGCCATCCTCCATCCCCTCTAAGCTCACGATCAATGTCGCCCTTCCGTACTCATCTGAACTCGCCTGGAAGGAGGTACTATTGATTTATACTTTTTTGGATTTGTGTTGAGAAATTTCTATCATTTCCTTATGTTGAGGTAGATTATATAATTATTGGATGGATTAATATTTATGGTTTTTGATTCACATCGACTTGAGTCTTTTACAATTGAGTATGATTATTGATCAGTACTGGTTGCTTCTGGTGAGGAACACTGAAAACTGTTTTTCGTTGAGGATTCAAGTACTTAGAAACAAAGTTAGTAGTATATTCATACTAGTTTTCAATGGTATTCTATTTGATATGTACATCTGATATTAAATAGCTTCCATGGGAATCATATATTGTTGAACTTCGTCCACCACCTATCCACCATAGATAAAGGTTAGATAGACATATGTCTTTTTAGTGCGTTTTTAGGTGTCCATTACATACCGACATAGACACATTTATATCTGTGTATGAACATATATGTATATATGCATATGTATGTATGTATGCATATTCATAATATACACATCCCATGAGGCCACAATGCCACATTAAAGAAACATTTTTGCTATTTTTGGGAAGGAGATGCAAATTCATATTTTTTGTGTATGCCACAATACATAAGTTCACACTAACATTCAAATAGTTGTTTGTTATAGACCAAATAGTTGTATATGGAGTTTGTCGCTAGAGAAAGACAGTACTTATAAGAAAATTCTAAGGCTGTTTTTGCAAATACTTCAATAAACTTCTTGGAAAATTCTACTATCAAATGAAATGTATTCTAAGCATTTCTTTTCTACAGCTTGGCCATATTTAGCTTGCGCTTCTATTTCTCCTTGCAAGTAGAATAAGTATCTTTCCACTTATTTGGCTGAAATGGATGTTACCAAACACTTTTCATTAAGAAACATATTCATCTATATCTGCCAAATAACCTATACCATACCTTCCCTTTATGTCCCTCGAGGTTAAACACTTTTCAGATGTTTGTATTATACTCTGTCTGCTCCAAAAAAAAGAGACATTTATTTAATGTAGAACTTTTAGATTTTGGTGAGGTGCCTCTATAGAATTCAACAAATATAATCATATTCCCATTTTTATTTTAACTTCATTTACCATATTAAAACTTTTTTGGCATACTTTTAATATTTAAAAACATTTGATAAGATGGAAGAGGGCTCCTGTAATGGGATGAGCTATGAAGGGAGTACTATTTTCTATGCAGCCATCTCTACTAGTTATCATAGTAATGGGTTCAATTGTGTTCGATCCGTAGTCAGACCTGCTATGTTATATGGGGCAGAGTGTTGGGCGGTTAAGAAGACTCATGTGCGTCGTCTGCATGCGGCGGAGATGCGGATGTTACGATGGATGTGTGGGAAGACAAGGTTGGATAGGATTTCGAACGAAGTTATCCGACGTCAAGTAGGTATGGCACCGGTGGAAGACAAGTTGCGGGAAGCGAGGTTGAGATGGCTTGGCCATGTGAGACGGCGGGATGCTGACGCCCCTGTACGAAGATGCGAGAGGATTACGGTTATCGGGGGAAGTAGGGGAAGGGGTAGACCTAAGAAGAATTGGGAGGAGGTGATTAGGCAGGATTTAGGACTTCTCGACCTGACTGAGGATATGGCCCTAGATAGGAACCTTTGGAGAACTAGGATTAGAGTAGCTGGATAGGAGCTCGGTGTTGTAGAGGTTGTTTTGTAGTGTGTTGTATTTGTTTGGAATCTTCTGCTATTGTTTGTATTTGTTGCTTGTACTTGGTGTCTTATCTGTGCTATACTGTATTCTCTTCCATATTTTTGTGCAGGTGGAGCCGGGGGTCTCTTGGAAACAGCCTCCCTACTTCCGAGTAGGAGCAAGGTCTGCGTACACACACCCTCCCCAGACCCTACTGTTGTGGGATTCAACTGGGTTGTTGTTGTTGTTGTGTTCCTCTGACTGAGTAGTAATTTATATTTAGCTGTCTCTATGAATTATCATAGTTAGGGTTCAATATGTTTTATTACTCCTTAGCTCTTAGCTATATGATGCATAAAAACTCCCTGCCAACCTTGTGCTGAATCGCTAGTTTTTAAGTAAAAACATTTGATATGATGAAAAGCAGCATCTTTTTTTCAAATTTGTCTCTTTCTATGGGACAAAAAAATATTTAGAAAAAGAACTCCTTTTATGGGATGAAGGGAATAGTCACTTCTAATCAGCCATCTCGACTAATTATCATAGTCATGGATCAACTGTGTTTCTTTGACTTATTAGCTCTTAGCTACTCCCTCCGTCCAAGTAGAAACTTTTCAGTTTGACTTGGCACGGTTTTTAATGTAAAATGAAAAAGTAATGCATTTTCCGTATTCGCCCGTTCAATTACTCTTCATCTGTTCGTAACCCACTCTGCCCTTTTCTTCAAAAATCAAAACCAGGCTTCTAAATTTTCTTCTTCAACCTTAAATCTATGATCTATCCCTGCACACTCATTCCCCTGCCTTTCTAATATTCAGATCTATCCACCCCCAACTCAGACGTGACTCACGTGCAGCATAGAGAAATCAAAGTCAATATCTCATCACCCTCAGAAATCAAATCTAGGATTAGGCCAACAAAGAAAAAAAAACTGTATAGAGATGAAGAGAAAGTGACAACTAAGAAATTGAAAATCAAATCTAGGTTCTTCTTCGTTGCCCTTTCACCGCCGCCCTTTGTTGTGCCTTTTAGCCTCTGCTCCTTTGTCGCTGCATGGGTAGAGAAGAGAGAAGAGAAATTGGGGTTGGTTTGGAGGAAGATGAACATATCTGAAGAAATTTGGTGGGGGTGGGGAATTGAAGAAGAAAGGAGAGAGCGCAGAGGAAGGAGAAGAAAAGAAGAAAAAGAAGAAAAGAAAGGTGGGGGTACAAGAAGGGGATGGAGTAGAGACAAGAGGGAGAATAGAAAAGGGTAAAAGAGTAACTTTATGTGTATTTTAATTCCTTTTTAGGAAATGAGAAGAATCAAATGGGACGGCCCAAAAGAGAAAGTGAGAAGAAAGATATGGGACGAGAGGAGTATATGTTTAATGCAAGCTGCATGTGATCCATGCAAATGGTTTACATTAAAAACATGGCTAATTTTCTGGTGCTGACTCGTTAGGATGCCAACACGCTTTAATGGCTGGCTTCTACAATCCACTTTGAAGCATTGTCGGATTTGGAACCTTAGAATTTCCCTAAATATGTACTCCATACATATGTTTCCCAGTCATGTTTCTCATTTGAGTCATCTCTCTTGTGTTCTGATGCCAATGCAACTTATGTTCCTAAGTGTTCTACTAAAAAAGTGTGGCTAATTCATTATTGTTATTCTGCAATCTATACTGGTTTGGTATAACCATAATGGGGTTGGATGAGAGGGGTTCAAATCCCAAACTCGGGGCAGTTTCCCAATTTGTTAGTTTTGTGATTTTTATTTGCATCCCTTTGTTTGCCACTATCATAAAGTAAAATTATTGGATAACTTAGGTGGTTGTACTTCAAAGTTTAAACTTCTATTTTCAATAGGGTCTATGTCAAAAGGTTTTGGACATGGAAATAGATACTCTGTATAAAATGTTCTAGGTTCTAAACGTTCCTTGTGTATAGTTTTATGACCAATTGCAAATGATGCCAGAAGCACAATAAGCCTAATTTAAAAAAAGGCATACATTCCATGAATGTAGTACTTCATATCATCACATGTCCTTGTTACATGGCTTTTAAAAAGAATGTTTTTATGAGGCACTGTTTTCTCTACAATGTATTTATTGTCCTTTTCCCACTATTTGTCCCATCTAGCAGTCCTAGTTCTATTGATTGGGAGAATGCATTTCTTATCTTGCCTATTTTCTTTGCACTATAAGGAATTTGGAAGGAAAAGAAAAGAAAATGATTTTCTCTCATTTTCCTCACCAAAATGGGAGGAATTTGTTTTCCCTCCACTTAGTACATTTGTCTTCTCATTTTCTTTTCCTTCCACTTTTCCTCTCCAACCAAACAAGAAAAACTGTTTTCCACTTCATTTTCTTTTCTATTCCCTTTCAAATTCCTTGAACCAAACATAGTGTTAGTTTTTTAGTCATGTCAATATTTTCTTCATAGAATAGTTGGTATATTTTTTAAGTTCTGTTTTCTTATATTTTATATCATACATCACAAAATTGAATTGAAATGATCTTCAGTCTTGCCTCCCCTGCACACGTTGGACGACTAAAATGGCACTAATTGTGTAAATATTGTGTTCACGTTCATTTTAAGAAGTATGCAATGCCAACTTTCTGAAAAATATGTATATTCATGTATGAGGAACAATAAAAGATGGTAAAATTCGAAAAACACCACATCTTGTGCATTTAATGAAATATGAGTAATGAAGAATGGGTAAAAATGAAATTTCAGAAGACTAATACATGATCAAGACCAAGAACTCTCAAAATGTGAATCCATGATCATCATGTTTCATCTCCTTTTACAGGTTGACATGGTCATCATCCCTGCAAGCACCGGGCAGATGGGCATTCTGCCCGGCCATGTGCCGACAGTTGCTGAGCTGAAGCCAGGTGTCATGTCGGTTCACGAAGGTAACGATGTGACCAAATACTTTGTGGCTGGTGGGTTTGCTTTCGTCCACGTGAACTCTTTCGCGGACATTGTTGCCATTGAAGCTGTCCCGCTGGACCAAATTGACCCGGCACAGGTCCAAAAGGGACTCGCGGAGTACACTCAGAAGCTGAGCTCGGCGTCAACCGACGCAGAGAAAGCAGAAGCACAGATTGGGGTGGATGTACACAGTGCCCTTAACTCTGCCCTTACTGCTTAAAACTTATATGACTGTTTTCTCCATCTTTTTCAGTGATTTTTTTTTTTAAATTTGAATTTCATCTTCTTGCTACGAAACCCATGTTTGAGTGGATGTGTCTTTGGTACTCATTTTGGTAGCATGTTTTTCTTCACTTGAATAAATTTATGGGACTGGCATATTTGAACATACATGTTCCATTCTTCTCACACTTTGACTTCATACCATGTCCGTTACCATCTCTCTCACACCCTTACTTTCGGGCCCTGAATGCTTGAACACCAACAGATATAAACTATTAAAAAAGTGTTTGGTGAGACAAAAAAATCAGTCCAGATTTGAAATCTTAAGATTTGACATGTTTCAAAAACGCGTTACTCCATATCTCCTTTATATTTCTGATATCAACTATGGAGAAATCAGATTTCTTTTTTTTTTCAAATTTGTGCACGTTCCGATTATGACTTTACGGGTCGATCGGTTCCTCTTCCTCGCCCCTCCTCTACATCGTCTCTCTTTCTCCTCATCTCTTTTTCACACAAAGTATGCTTATTCATCTCCATTTTCCTTTTCATCTTCTTTTACCATTATGTTTTAAACATCTTTTGAATCTGATGATGCAAATGAATGAAAACGGTGAAGACTTTAGTAGCAAGAATCAGCCTGGAACAAATACTTTTTTGTCAAGCCATGAAAACTAGTGCATCTTTTTACGGGGTTGAGTACAATCCTAAGTGGAATGTGGAGGGGACTTCAAGCATGCATACATAAAACAACTAGAAGTAATGAGGTTGCTTCCCATAACATTGATTCTCAATGTCATGGGATGATTCGAGAGTGTTCCAATGGCCCGTTCGTAAAATGGCGATACCTACTTTCCTGAGCCTCTCGATAAAACCCTCATCCCATCCCGACCCGAAGACACACCCCACCACTTTCAATTGCACCCGCAAGTTAATTTTGACTTTGGAGTTAAATTTTAAACACTTTTCATTCAGATTTCAAAAATTTATATCAAAATTCATATTTTATCATATCACCAAAACTCATCAAACGAGTCCTAAGTGGAAGTGGTGTCTTGGTTGAAGAAGTGATTGGAAACAAGTATTATAAAAGTCATATATTGAGGGAAATCCTTAACTAAAAGTAAAATTAATTCTGAGTATAAGACTTTTAATATTTTATGCCAAAATAAAATTTATATTATAAAAAAAACAATGTGAAACACTAAGACAAAATATCAAATTCAGTTTTTCCAGAGAAAAAGTAAACTTCAATTTGTTACATTGCACTATACATGCACGATATTTGCACTCTTATTTTAAAAAAAAACTAAAAAACACATGAGTATAAGATTTAATACAATACTGAATAATTTTTATGTTGTATCTAATCTAGATACATTGTTTTTATATATAATTTATAATTTAACCAAAATTTGAAAATGTCACCTTAGTTTCTCCATACTCGGTTTCCATGTTTCAAAAGTTTGCCAGGACAAAACAACGGGTGTGATTTCCCGCCACCCTCACAATCGAACGGTCTCAATCCGTACATGTGCGTCTCTCCCAGGGGGCATCGCCACCGTTCATCTTTCGACACCGCATATATATAACCGGACCCCACCGAACGTTTTTTTTTTACTCACAGACGTCACAGTCAAACCGTTTCTCCGTTGACTTCCATCTCCGGGCGTCTCCTTCTCGGCGGGAAGAAAAAAAATGAGCAAAGACTTTCTCAATGCCTACGCCCATGCCAATAACCGGAAGAGGAAGATGAAGGAAGTGGCGGCGGACCATCTGCCGCCCCATCTGCCGCGGTTCGCATCCGCTCCGCCAGCGGCACCGCTGAGTCTCTTTCCTCTGGATTCAGCGGCTGGGGCGGGGGCGGGGGCGTCGTCGTCTGCCGCCAGGCACCCGCCGCATCTGGCGTCCCATTTCGACACTGCTCTTCGGCTGAGCAGCGTTGAGACTGGGCGGCAGCAGGCGGGGGCAGGCGGAGGAGACCTGGGCGCCTTGTCTAGGCCTATACAGTCTTTCACTTCCTTGTTGCTCACCGGAGACGGCAGCAATGAGGCGGCGGCGGAAGAGGAGTGTACCCACCGTGTTATCAAACACGCTGTCACTTGTTATGTACGTTATTCGTTATACATTTTCTACTTAGAATCGTTAAATGCTAATAGTTATTTTTAAAAAATTAAACTAATTTTGCGCAGAGCGAACGGGTGAGAGAGATGATGGAGGAGATGTGCATGCAGCAGCACGCGATGGAGCACGCCATGGCGGAGGAGAGGGCAGCGAAGAGGATGAAGGAGAAGCACGACGAAATGGTGGGCCGGGTCATGGCTAGGAACTCTGAGTTAGAAAGGCTTCTTTCTAACTTCAGGAACCAAGCCATGAACATGGGGCACAGAATCAAGACCCTCGAGCAGACCAACGCCGCCCTCCGGGCGACGCTGCAGCAGGCCACCGCATCTCTCCGCTCTGGCGGAGGAGGCGGGGAGGAGATGATGCTGCTGGTCAGGCAGCATCATCAGCAGCCGCAGCCGCCGCCGGCGGAGGATCAGGAGGACGCGCAGTCGTCGTCCTCGGTGGACCCGGAGCAGTCGGGGCGACCGGTCAGGTTGACTTGCCGGCTTTGCGCCCGGCGGATCGCGACGGTGATGCTGTGGCCGTGCCGCCACCTCTGCCTGTGTAAACGCTGCGAGGGGTTTGCGAACCGGTGCCCGGTTTGTGAGGCGGCTTTCCAAGCCAACATTGAGGTTGATCTTTCCGGGTAAATGAATTGAATTGGACCGGCCTGGCTCTCCATATACAAATAAAACAATTCTTTTTTTTCTTTTAAATTATTATTTATTGTTGATACTATTGTGTGTACTTTTTTTTTTTTGTTTTTTTAATTTGTGTGTGGCTTAGTACTCTATTGTGCTACAGTATTTTTTAAAATTGGATTCCTGAATGGTCAGGAAATATTATTTAATTTTGTTTTTGAAATAATCCCAAAAATAATGAAAAATATTAATATTTGGTATAAAGTTTATCTTTTGACTTACATTTAGGAGTATTCCATAATGGGTGGTGACCAAACTCCAAATTTGGTGATGGCAAGAGATATAAATTTATATTTTTATCAACTTCATTTCCATTCATGATGATCATTAGTTTGTATATCATCTCAAAATCTTTGTCTAATTTTAAATTCTTGTAATAAATAACAATTAAATAAAATTTTATTGTTTATTATATTTGTTAAGTATTTGTCTAGTTTTGACTTCTTGTAGTTAACTATTTTCAATTTGTGATCCTTAATTAAATTGAATATATTTATTGTATATTAATTAGATAAAATATTATTATATTTTTTTAAATAAAATAATCCAATAAAATTATTTTTTATCAATATATAATATTTCTTTTGGTTAATTTGATTTTTTTGCTAATTTTGACTAATTGAAGTTAAAAGTGGATAAATCAACCGAAATTGACCCCTATAAATTAGAAAACAAATATTTTAAATTTATTTACAAGAAATATTTAATAAAATTATTTTTAAATCAATTAAATTTACTTTTACTTTATCAATTAAATATTTAATTTCATTTTTTTTGATAATATGACATAATAATTAAATTTTCAACAAAGGCCATATATTTGATAGTCAAAGCGATACTCCATATGAAATGATGGGCAACAACTCCAATTAACCAATAGTAAAGATACAATTCGCAATTTCGTTTTCCCATCTTCATCTCCTCCAAAAGCCCTAACCCTTCCCCCGAATTCTTTATATAAACAGCCCATCTGCATCCCTATAATCCACAATCGCTCCCACTCCTTCGTTTCAATGATTTCGAAGTTTGCATCTAGATCTAGAACACAAATCAAAACAACTTTTGTTTTTAATTTTTGTGTTTTTTGTAAGATTTTACCGTTTTTGCGTGGAGGATCGCAGTGAGGACTTCAAAAGATCAAGCTCAACAGACCGGATCGCAGGAGCTTCTCCAAGTCGAGAGCTTTTGCATGTCGATTCAATCTTCATCCCTGAGCGATCTAGCTTTTTCTTCTCTGTTTTTGAATATTTTGGAATTTATATCTGTTTTTGATGTTTGATTGCGATGAGGATCTCTAAGCTCCCTCTTCTGATTGATGTTGAGGAAATTCGCTGGCCGAATCGAACCATTATAACTATCGCCACCACTGAGCAATCTCTGTCTTTACTCTCTGTTTGAAATTCATCGGATCTGTTAGGTTTCAATTGATTTCATGGAATTTGATCTCCAATCGGTTCTAGATTTTCTTGATTTTTTTAGCAATTTTTACTTCTAAATGTTCTGAAACCATTAGATCACAGTGATGACTTGCAATATTCAAGCTCAACAGACCGGAACGAGGCTTCTTCTTCCTGGAAATGGGTTGAAGGAGTTTGCCTGTCGATTACCCCGCTGAACTGAGTGATCTATAGGGTTGAACCAGTGCATTAATTATCTGTTTGAAAATAATTTCAGAAATTTAGTCTGATTTTTCTTGGATATTTATGTTTAAATTTTCTGTTTTTTTTGTTTAATTACATTGTTGTAATTAATGATGAGGATGAAGCAAAAAATAGCATTTCCAACACTTGGACTGAGTACTGATGCAAAACCAGTTTTGCTACTGAATCTGTGACAAAGCATTTGTTTGGTTTATTTTATCTTGATTCTTATGTGTTTTATTTCTTTTAAATTCTATTGGAGAAACTATTGACAAAATGAATAATATTATGACACCATTTGACACAGCTGATTGCTTGTGCGTGAAAAAGGCAATGTTCTGATGATGATGATAAAGATTTTGATTGATATTTATGTGTTCTTGAGGGTTTCTTGGGGTTTGTTCACTTTTGACTTTTGGAATTGTTCATTTAGGAACTTTGATTCATCAAATTTTCTCAATATGTAAGCTTAAAAATAGTCATGTGTAATTTTGTTTGATTTGTCAACATATAGATTATTAATATATAATTTTTTAATATACAAATTACAAGATAAAATGGATTAAAGAAGTGTATTGGATAGTGTGAAAAATGAAAGTGGACAAATGCTCAGGGACGGAGGGAGTAATTCTTTTTACCAAACTCTGCCTCATAATAGTGATGAGGGATTATGGTTGAAATTAAATTTCTTGTCACTGGATCATATTGTGTGATTCTTAAGAGGCGTAGAATGATCGATTTGAGGTTAAGCTATCGTTTCAGTCGTCATTTCTCCGTTGACGGCTCGATTGTTGCTTGTCCATAAGAACTGTTCAACTGTCTGTAATTCAGTATTTCTTCATAGTTTGAAGTATTTTTGTTTTTTAATCTTTCCCTCATTCCAAAGTATCTAATCTCTTTAGGGCAGTGGAAATGAGTGAGGGACGTTGAGAGCCTTCATGTGCTGTTTAATAAGTTTAAGCCATTTGTGTCAAATTATTCAAAAGCCCCGTTTATTTTTTTTATTAAACACTCAAAAATAGGCTAAATGCTATAATTAGTCTTTTATAATGAGAGTATTCATATTTAGTTTTTAATTTTCAAATATTACATCTGTATTTTTTTGTTACGGAGTATATTGGTGATAATTTAATGTTACAAAGTATAGTTTCATATTAATTTTATATATTGTGACTTCATTTGATATTTGTTAGAAGAAAATACCAAAATAATACCTTTAGTAGAGCTGGACACGGGATTGGTATTGTATTGTTATCGGTGCTGGTATTGTTGCTGGTTTTGCCACCTTTACCCGCGACGGACGATGTCCTGCACGTTATTGGTTTTTGGTGCCAATTTTTTAGTACCGGTATCGTTTTAAATATTTTTCTTTGAACCATGCTAGGGTGCCACCATATGAGTGCTACCATGGGTGCACTCATGCTTTACATATACAAACATAGACGATAATTGTTTGTGCGACATAGATAATTATCGTCTGTGTTTGTCAAAATGGGTGCATCCATGGTAGCACCCATGTGGTGGCATCCTAGCATTTTCCTGACAATTGCTTTTGCATGAGAGGTTGGCCGCGGGAGCCTCAATCATGGCCATCAGCCCATAATGCTGTTTGAGTGGGGGTAAAGGTCCACCCCTTTCTCTACTACTCCTTTTTATTTTATTTTATTTTTTAGTTTCTTGTCATTTATGTTGACAAGAAGGGGTGGGAGACAAATGAGGTACATTAAAAGTGTACCTCATTTTTCAATATAAAATGATCTTAATGTTATTAAAATCTCATTCTCACTTTCACACTGTTAAATTCTCATTCTCCTCTTTTCTATTATCTCTCTTTATATATTTTATACTAATATAATACTTCCTCCGGTTTCGGAGTATTTGTCAAGTTTTGATTTTTGGAGTTGTTAATCTAAGCACTTTGACTTATTAAATTTTCTCAATGTTTAAGCTTAAATATAGTCATGTGTGATCTTGTTTGATTTTTCTTAACATATAGATTATTAATATATAATTTTTATAATTTTTTAATATACAAATTACAAGATAAAATGGATTAAAGAAATATGTGCATTAAATGGTATGTAAAAATAAAAGTGGACAAATACTTTGGGACGGAAGGAGTACCTTTTACTAGTAACCTTTCGAAATTAAATCTAAATCTCATTCGGTCCCAAAGCATTCCCCTTTTCATCATGACCCTCCTCACAATTGGGAATGGGAGCATTCTCAATGCCATAATTGACAAATCCTTAGAAACTAGGTATTTGATTGAAATAACACCTGCTCCATAAAAACCAGTGTTATTTGAATCAGACTGAATCGGCTGGCCTAACTGGTTGGCTACATGCAATGCTTAGCCAGAAGAATCTGCAAATTAGGTGACCCGAGTAGGACCGGCCGATTCTCGCAACCAATTCACTTGTGGAGATTGGGTTTATACATTGAGAGAATTTGATGAGTCAAAGTGCTTAGATGAACAGTTTCAAAATTTAAAAGTGGACAAAAACTGAGGAATGAAGGGAGTAATAATTAGTTTGTTCGGTTAATCATTTTCCTCAATGTTAGAACTGTGGCAGTTTGTATCATAGAGGCTAAGTTGGGGAAAAAAGAGTATTTTTAAAAAATTTGTAATATCATGCTTGGATGTTTAGTCACGAGATATTTAAGGAGAAGCTTTTTGGTGCATCATTTTTGCAGATATGTAATTACTTGACGAGACACGTGAGAGACTTGATAATAAGTTGGGTTGAAGCGTTGATCTTAAGGGTCTAAAGACTTTAAATCGAGCATTACCAAAATTGAGTATTAAGAAGGTTACTAAATTGATTTAATGATAGAATCAAAAGTTGAAGTTAGGATTAATCCTCATCAATATTGGTCACGCTCTATGATTTATCCCACCATTTCTAATACGGAGTAATAAACACTCCGTACTAATCTATCCGTAATTTTTGTAGTAGACTTTTTATAGTCATTGTAATATTTTGATCGTACATTTTTATCGCAAATTATTATACTTTGGTCATATATTTTTATCACAAATCGTAATATTTTTGAGTAAATTGCCTATCTCATTTTACAAATCATAATATGTTTGAGTAAATTGCTTATTTCGTTTTACGATTGTTGACGAAGTTCTTCAAATTATTTTATAAGAAAAATGGTGTAGAATTAAAAAAATACATACTTCCTTTGTCCCTGAGTGTTTGTCCACTATCATTTTTGCACAACATCCAACACACTTTTTTAATCTATTTTATCTTGTAATTTGTATATTAAAAAATTATAAAAATTATATATTAATAATTTATATATTAAGACGTATCAAACAAGATCACACATGATTATTTTTAAGCTTACACATTGGGAAAATTTGATGAGTCAAAGATGAACAGTTCCAAAAGTTAAAAGTGGATAACACTTAGGGACGGACCAATTATTACAAAACTATAATAAAATATCTATAAATATAGTAGTAAGTAATATGATTATTATTTTATCGAATGACTAACAAAAATAGAAAAAAAATGAATGATATTTGACTCTGTAAATAGTACTCCCTCCGTACCCCATAGATCTTCCCAATAGCCCTTTTTCTATGTCCACAATAGATCTTCTCATTTCATTTTTTAACAATTAAAATACCACAACTACCCCCACTTACTTTATTTATTACACCTCACCCACCTCATTTAATACACTCTACTCATTTTTCATTAAGGGTATTATGGTAAAATTTCACTTTTTTTCAACTCTACTTAAAAACCACCAAAAGTCAAAATGAGAACATCTTAGGGGGACGGAGGGAGTAAATACTTTTTTACTCCGTATTTTTTAAGAGGAGAAAGTATTTTTTTAAAATTTGATTGGTAAAAATTAAAGTAAATACGAGTATATGACATATACATTTAAAATAATACCGTTGTCTCTAATAAATAAAATAAAAAATTTTACGAAGTATATCTAAAAGACATTTAATAATGCACTTCAAATTGGTGGTGGATTATTTATACAACCAAAGTCGCACACATTTGCTATCCCAACACTGCATTATAATTTTTTTATGTATCCACACACATACACACATACATGCCGACACACTCCATATCGTACTAACCCATTAAAATCAGACACCAATTGCCACCAAAGTCGAGTCCATCGAAACCGAGCTGCAAACATGAGAATATGTATTTATATATAAACACGCATACGGGTGTGATATACCTCAACCGTAGCAACGGATTGGATCATTGCATCCTTTTTCGGCAGATTGCTTGAGACCGAACCTGCCTCCCTTTGCAAGGTACTGCTGGTGATACTCCTCGGCTCGGTAGAATTTCTTGGCTGGCAATATCTCGGTGACAATGGGCCTGTTCAGAATCTTCTGTTGTTGTTCCTTGGATTCTATTGCCGACTTCTCTTGTTCGGGTGTGTAGAAGTATATTCCAGATCGGTACTGAGTGCCCACGTCGCCCCCCTATCAAACAGTACGTGACATAACCCATTATTTTCATGCAACAGAAGAAGAGTCTATTTCAAGCCGGAGAAGGATTTTACAGCTTTTTTTCGAAGGAAACAAAGGTATATATTACATGTTCGGGGTTTTAAGGCTTGCTTCTTGAAGGTAAATATGGCAGAAACTAGTGAATTGTGTAAAAGTTTATGCATTTAGAATCATTTTTGAAGAAATGAAATGAAATAATATGGAGTAATGTAAAAAAGGACACTGTATCAGGGGCAAACACTTTCATCTTAGCTATAAAAAATACTTCTGCTCTAGTGTTCTTATTAATGAAGTACTCCATAAAAAAGTTAAGATTAATGTTTGAGGAGAATATTGAACTAATAAAGGTCAAAAGTTAGAGCAAAATAAGTACTCCAGTTTGAAAAAACAAGCAAAAAGATAAATCATTCCTGTTTCACAGCAAGCAAATAGTGCTATGGAATAACACAAAGAAAAGCATATTGACTTATTAAAAAGATACACGATGCTTCATAAAAAACTTATTTATTCCAAGTTCTCCAGGAAAGTCAACTAACAATTTGTTTGGTTGAAGGAATTTAGAAAGAAAAAGAAAAGAAAATGTGAAGGAAAAGCAATTTTGGTGCAATAAAATAAAACAACCTTTTCTATGCTATGTTTAGGAAGATAAAGAAAATGCAAAAGAAAGTCAACCGAACCAAAACTCCCTCCCTTAGTTCACTTGGTTAGTAGAGAAATTGGTAAGAAAATCACTTTTCAAGGAAAATCTATTTTTGGTTTTTCTAAAGAATATGAAAGAAGACATGTTTGAGACGATGAGGGAAGGAAAGGGCATTTTGCTGTTCTCTCTTTTTACTCACAAAAATCACTTTGTAATGTTTATTTCACATTTTATTAAACTTTTCATTTCTTTTACTTTCTATCGAAACACCAAAAATGCTTTTCCTTCCTACTTTCTTTCCTTTTTCTTTCGGAATTCTAGAAATGGAACAAATTGTTGAAGTTTATATGAAGAAAAAGACAGCTAATCTTACACCAAATCCCCTCACACACAAATTCTTACACCAACCAAACAAAGTGCTAAAGTTTATATAAAGAGGAGATCTAATCTTACACTAAAACTTCATAAGCGAATCCTTAGAATGACTTCATCATTCATTGGTGTGTGTTTTCAATGCAAAATCTAGAAACAACATTCTATAACTTATGAAAACTTAAGCCGTATGATTTAGTACAACACGAAATTCTATGCATTTAAACAAATGATAAACCAACAACAAATCAATAAAAGCTAAAAGAGTAAACAAATTGAATAAACACACCTGACGATTGCGGGTAGTCGGGTCGTGTTTAGCCCAGAAGGCATCAAGCAGGTTCTGGTAGCCGCACTCCATCGGGTCGTACTCGACCCGAACCACTTCAGCATGGTTCGTGCTACCGGTACACACATCCTCATAGGTCGGGTTATGGACGGAGCCCTGGGAGTACCCGACCTCCGTCCTGGTAACCCCAGGCACCCTCTGGAACGCCAATTCGACGCCCCAGAAACAACCCGCCCCGAACTGAGCGAACTGCTTGCCCGGGCCGGGCACGTCGTCGTCGGGTCCCTGAGCGATCGCGGAGGGCGCGGAGTCCGTGGCGGCGTCGCGCGCGCCGAGGCCGAGCTTGTTGAGCCAGCTCATCCTTGCGGTGGTGGAGCGGAGCGCGGCGGCGGATCTGGAGGATCGGGGAAAGGAAGAGATGGGGAGAGAGTTTTGAAGCGGAAGGGAGGGTTTGGGGAGGGAGAGGAGAAGTGGTAGGGAAGGTGCGGTGGATTTGAGCATTTTGTGGATTATTCGTTCGTTTGGGGGAGTGGAAAGGTAACTGTTAATGGAGGAGTACTCTTCACGTCTCATAATACTAGTGTCCCAAAAGATATTTTACCCATTCTTTTTTAAAAAAATATTTTACACTATGTGTGAAATAAAATACGGAGTAAAATTTTAAATTTTTTAATTTTATTTTATTTAAATAAATTTTTTTAAGACATAAAAAATATCATAATAGAAAAATTTATACATTTCTGGTCATCAATGTTATAAAATGATTTTGGACCCTTAAGATATTTCATTTAAGAAATTCATAATTCTTGCCTCCTCCAAACACCCTGCAATCCTTCATTGCACCCCCCAATCCACACCCAAACCTCTACTCTTTCCGGTTAGCTATAGTAGTCAATCGGTAAAGATATAAAGTATATGCAAGTTTTTGTAGAGATAAAGAAATAATTAATTTTTCATACAGAGTACAGTAGAACTTTCAAGTCCTCATATGACATTGTTAACCAATGTCACATGAACCAAGGTAATTATAATAATACCAATTTTGAAAATCAACTTTACTACAAAGAATAATTTGTACGCACACAAAATGCACTCGTAATGATTTATTAACTTTGGATGGTCTCTTCTTTTTGAAGAACCCAAAAAAAAAACGTTTATAAGTTATATGGGTACAAATTTACAAACAATTGTATGGTTAAACTCTATATGTTTTTTAAAATGTCATACTATAGTATGATTAATATCACAAAGTGCTCCATTCAATTCAAAAACACCCTCTTTGAAAATGAATTGGCACCCAAAGAAGGGCCAAATAGAGTAATAGGGCTAGGGTGAATTACAGGGAATAAGTACTTTAAAGTTCAAAACCCCCTACTAGAAAGTAGAGAGACTACGGAGTATTTTCAAAAGATTGTCACGAAAAATTCTGAATTTTTTTTACAGGAGATGCTTAGAAGTTTCAATTATGCTAAAAATAAAAATCTGAAAGATTTAAGTTACAAAGGCAACATGGAGAAGAGGTTCAGAGCTTCATCATCCATGGAGGTCACAATCATTTCCAAGTCTAATGCAAACCCAAACAACAAATGCCCCTAGAAATGCTACTACTTATGCTAAATATACCCAAGAAGAGTGTTGGATATCAGCATGGAAAGGAAAGAAATCAAAGCCAAAAAGAATCGGCTAATGGGATCTCTTGCGATCATCCTCGTCCTCATCATCGGAGTCACCACTCTCACGGAACCGTGGATTCTTCTCCTGCAAAAAAGTCATGCAGATTGTGTGCACTAAGAATTACCAGAATACTATAAAGACATGGTTTCTTTCTTTCTTTTTTTTTTGGGGGGGGGGGTGGGGTGGACTGTGAATTACTCCTCTGGTCCCAGGGTGGACAAATACTCCAGGATGGAGGTGGTATGTTTTAACTTGTTATGGTCGGATTCTTCTCATAATTTGAAGTTTGATAAAATCATTCCTAAAATTGCAGAAATAACAAGCCCTCATATAATGGGTTTAGCTCGATTGCTAAGAATTGAGTGAATTTATGTCATTACAGAAGTGACAAAATTGTATTTAATTAAACTATGGCCACCAAATTATTCCAAAATTAGGCACAAGTATTTCAGGGCCTCCAATTCTTAACAGATAGTTCCAATCTAAACGAGTAGAGTGCACAAGGTTTTACTACCATGAGGAGGGGGAGGGGTGCCAATAAACAAACTCTTGTAATGCAAAAATCATCAAAAGTTCAAAGGATATTCCCTAGTTTTAAAAAAAGGGAAAAATTGAAAATCTGGAATTATATAATGTAGAGGGAAATCAACTCAGAAGCAAAAAAATTTACCGGTCTAGCTTCATGGTCAGAATCTTTGGCAGGTTCACGGCGGTAAACTCTCTTAGAGTAATCAAGTCTAGGCCGGCCATCATCACGATGCCGCTTGCGTTGGTAATCTGTTCCTCCAAATATGCATAAAAAGCTAACTTTATAAACTATGCAAGTGCAGTAAAATTGAAGGACTACACACCTAACTTCACAGAGAATGCAAGTGCAGTAAAATTGAAGGATCACCTCTGCCCTGTCGATAAGAACCTCCATTGCCATGATGTCCCCCATGCCGACCATCTGTTACACATCAGTTGTCAAAAAGTAGTCTATATATCAATACTGCACATTTTTAATTTTTTAGATCAATATATTCCCCATTTCACAAATATGATCAAAAGCCATTTTGGGTGTTAATAGTTATTGAGCATTTAGGCCAATAGCCACAAAATAATTGGGGAGGGAGAGGATCACAGATGCAAGGGAGCATCAGATGTAGAGGAGTAAAATTTATATCACGTGGAAAATCAATGCTGAAGCATAACATATTACTAAAAAAAACATAATCACACAGCATATGCTACTGATTGATGAGTAATCTCATGACTACCAAGTGGCATTGAAAATTAAAAAACAAGCAATGAATACAGAAAAATTAGCAAGCAAAAGAAGATAAATACTATAAGTAGGATTGCACCTACATTGAGGTGGCATAATTGGTCCGAAGTTTCCCAATGAGCCAGTGCCATAATCCACTAGTTCTCTTTGAGACTCCAACTCTTTCTGCACCAACTTTCCATAACCACCCCTACGTATTGCTCGTTAAGGAAATAAAACGAGAAATATATGGAGGAATATTGGAAAGAAAAAATGTGATGTAATAATTTTTTTTGTTAAACACTATTTATATTAAAGATTTGTTCAAACTCATTATATTTATCTAAAAACTGAAAAACGTAAACACATGTAAAAAAGTATAAACATTTACAGTATTCATTTTTCCTTTGCAAAATCTGTGGTATACCCAAGCACAACAAGATGATTTCCCTCTTCCTTATACAGCCATGTTCTGAGATCCAAACATACCCGAAGTATTGGTGGGTAAAACAATAGGTTTAAGTACAGTCCAAAGGAAACCTTTATCAAGCCTTGTGGAACTTGCCTTAGGTGACGTGATTGACAAACACCCTTGAGAAGAAACTAAATTCATGAAAAAATGAAGAATTGAATAATTTGGCTGAGATCAATAAATTTTAATAATGAATAAAAGAGGAGGAAGTCGACAAAAAAACCTAAGTCTTATTTTTCATCCAATGCTTACTGATAATTAGATTCCATTCAAGTATGACACAACTCTCGCCTTAAAATCTGGAACTCTAGGACATGAATGGTCTAGCAAGATAAGAGTTGACTAAACAAACCCGATCATTTCTGTAATAGATGAAGCAGAATATGTATAAATTCATGATATTCATTCTTTTGGGCTCTTGGTACTGGTCTTGGGACTTCCATAAGGCAAAAAGAATTATACTTACGAAGCGTATTTAATGTTTCTAGTAGAGAACGATGAGAGCAACAAGGAACACTGAGGTTCTTTGAAGCAAATTTTGGAATATACACATATTTGAAATAATAAGCATGCATGCCCTAACATCATTATTGTGCAAATCTGCACAAATTTGGTATTAGAAGTTAAAACACCTTTACAGCCTACATTGTTTATAAACTTTTATCTGCTTTTCAACTTCAATTGAAAACAAATGTGTACTTCAGAAGTTCAGGTTATTTTTTACTAACTTTGTCTAAGAACAAGACATGTTAGGTCAAGGTACAGCCTTTAAAAGTCAATGAATTCTATACAGTAAGACACACACACACACACACGGTGGGTTTAAATAAAACTATCATACTAAACTTGCTTGTAATTGTTTTTCTTTGGGAAAACTACATGAAAAATTAGTTCTGTTTGATCTTTAGTGACAAATAAACTTATGAAACATGACTCTTCTTTGGGACAGAGACATAAATGCAAAATATCAAGTTGAATCATAAAAAATAAATCAGAATAAAAAGCAGAGTTCATATCAAAACCTCAAGCATTCAAGTAATATAGAAATTAAACCATGACGATAAAAATAAGTAAAAACTTTAAAGATAAACTTTGCAACTTTCAAAAGGATATCTGGATCATAGTCAGTGCGATATTCGTCACGAACCTGAATTTTTTAAAGAAGAAGGATCAGAAAGTCAAACCATCTATGTTAACAAATAATTACGAGTATAACAAAAGCATGTAGACATTACTTGCCCACCACTTCTACCACGACCCCACTGTCTTCCTTCCTGGAAACCCCAATCAAAATCTACCCGAATAGGACGATCATCAAGGATTGTCCCACTTATATATTTAACTGAGTCTTCTGTATCTTCTCTAGAGTAGTACCTGGCGTGAAAATAATTTCAAATTACTACAAGTGAGGCCATCTTACATCTAAGAGCTATTTAGTATATAAGCATAGAACTGTCATATAAGACTGAATGAGTTTAACTAGGCCAAAACTGGCATATCACCAACTGGATGCTGGTAAACTTTACAGGTTAAAGTGAATAGAATGTGTAGGTAACGCCTTTTAGAGCAGTTGACAGATAATTGACAAAAGATGCACTCTTTAGTTTAAAACAGCGAAAAAACAGGAAACCACCAGCTAAATGCTGGGGAACTTTATATGGTAAGGTTCTCCATATGATATACAGAAAATTCTCAAGAAAGAAAAGGCCAGGAAACAGTTAACTGAAAATCATAGTATCTGGCAATTAATAAGGGTCTTTTCAGTGTCTCAAGGGAGAAACGTCCGGCTTCCATAGTATTCAGAATGCCTCATGAGTCGCAAATAAGTAACAAAATAGATTGAACATCCTTTTTTAGACAATCGTGAGACAAACTAAAGAAAAATAGAGGAACTGAGGTTAAAGATGTACATTACAAAGCAGAAACCGCAGGGAGTTCTGCTGTTTTTGTCAAGACCCATAATTATCTTTTTTATCTCCCCAGCACGAGAGAACAACTCATACACTTGCTCCTCAGTCGTATAGAAGGACATATTCCCCACATAAACAGTAGTTGATTTCAGAAGTGCTTCATCAAATTCTTCCTGTGTACCCTGAAACCTTCTATCTCTGTATGCTGAAATCTTGCTTAGATCCTAACCATTAAAGAAGAGTAGACAAAATAAGACCCACATCCGAGGATGTTATCATGAAACTTTATATCTTACATTTTGTTATTTGCTTAAAATTCTTTTCAAAATAACTAATTTACTCCCCCATCAGTCACTCTCTCTCTCTCTCTCTCTGCGAGAAAAGATTTAAATTGTAAAATCGCACAGCATATAAAAAAAGGTGGAACCCCAACCCCCAGGGTCCCCCTAGTACTGGCCCGGACAGTAGGGTGGAAAGAGGTAAATTGAGCTAAGGTCGAGAAAGATTTGTTTCTCTGGTACGTACAAGAATCCCATACATAGCATGGTCATTCTCTATAGCATCGAACCCTGGTTTACACCCTGTGGCACTACACTTTCAACCAGCTGGTCTATGCCCCCGGGCAATCACACAGCATATCATTACAATTAATGGATGTTCTCACCCCATTGTGGGAAAGAAAGTAAATTTTAACACAAAATCAGCACTATATTCATCCTCTTAGAAGTAGCTGTAATTCCACGAAGAAAAATCCAGGAAATAAACAATTGATTCACAAATTCGAATCTAGAGATGGCAATTACCGAGAGAGAAATTCACAATCAACAAAACAAAAACCTAAAAGGCTTTCAGCGTGAAACCTACCTTAAAGAGAGATGCCATTGTTTCCGGACGGAGATGGCGGCGGGTCACTCCGCAGGTGTCCGGACAGCCCTACAGCCACCCTTAGAAGACGCCGGGAAACAGTTAACCCGAATTCGGATTCCTTTCCCGGAGAATCCGACGGAGGGAAAAGGGGAAGTTATTTAAGATCGTGGGTACTGAGCCCAGGCTTGGTTAAAGACAGACTCTGTTGAAAATAGTGGGTCACGAACAAAACAAAATTACAAAATTTACAAATTTATGAAGTGAAATTTGCACTAAAACATAATGACTTTCCTAATATAGGACTTAAACTTTTTTATTTTTTAAATAGGACTTAATAATGACCTTGTGGGAGAAATAATGTCCAGGGACATTTAGTTGAATAATGACTACATGATAATGACCAAAGGTCATACATTAGAAAATAAAAACATATGGTCTTATATTGGGAAAGTCATTATGTTTTAGTCCTATTTAGGTAAACTACTCATTTATGAACTCTCCTAAAAAAATAAAATAGTCTTAAATAATTAAAATTTTAAATATTTATTTTTGTGATTTTTTGTTGGAGAATTTAGCATTTTTTTAAACACAAAAAATGTTACTTGCACACCAATATGGTGTACAATTAGACTTAGCAAATAATTACCCCACCTGTTTTTTACTTGAAATTTAATTTGAAAACACTAGATTTTGAACAAAGATTTTGTTGACAAAATCCGAAATGATTCGCTAAAAATGGATAAAATCTGACCGAAATATAATGTTATAAAAATAATGTTATAATTATATTTTTTACTACTCTTTTTTAGTATATAAATTTATATATTCAGATAAAATTTTAATGATATTACATAATTATCTTACTTTTCCAAGAATTATGCATTTTTAATTCTTTATATAGATTTATATATCTAATAATAACTTCAGAATTTAAAATAAAATAATATAATAGATATTTAATACATGTTTTTTTATATTTTAATTGTATTTTATTGTGAAATGCAAGTGTTAATGTGAATGTTTAATAAAAAATAAAGTCATAACCTGTTGGGACGACTCAAATCCGATGATACTAGGTCATTAACATACAGTTCTTAACCTGAACTCGAAGTAACCCAAACGTGAAATGATCGAACCCGAATTCGATGTAACCGACTAATTTTCCAGTTCTATGTACAATTCTCATACACAATGTTTTGCATTGACACACTGACACAAAATGTCTTCATAACACATGCATTTTGTGTTAGTATGCGTTGTACATCATGTTGGTATACACTTAGTATGGCTCTTTTGAAAGTAGTCTTCTTTACTTTGAGGAAGATTAAGATTTGTCTCCCACCGGTCCTCAAACCCTACTTCGTTGGATTTTCATTGAGTTTCATATTTATTGATCTTATGTTGTTTCGAGTAAAATCTATATTGTTGTGAATCTAAAAATGAGCTTTTGAATAAATTAAGATAGTGTATGATTGTAATTGGACTTTGTTGTAAACTAGAAAAATTTAGGCTCAATTTGAAAAGGGAGAAAAATAGAAAATGACATCCGGAAGTCATTTTCCCTATTTTCCAGTGTTTAGACAAATACTTTGGCAAAAATCATTTATATTAAATTTAATATAATAATTTTAATCAAATATCGTAAACTGTAACAAAACCAACACTAATATTCTTGATCATTTATATGAAACAGTCAAGTTTTTACTACTTAATGAAAAAGTTTTGACTTATTACAAAAAGTTTCCAATGCCACTGCATCGCCTTGCCACTGGACATCTCGATGTTGTGTTTAAAAAACCGATGATTTATATGTTCATAACTTCTCATTAAGCCTCCCCTGAAAACCCTGGCTCAACCCAAACTCACGTGATCACGTCAATTAAACCCTCCAAGTTTATTGAGTTATTGATTATTGGTATGGGTAAAAACAATTAACTTGTCTGTTGCATATTAATTTCATTTATGATATGTTTGGAAACATGGATTTGGATTTCAAATCCGGATTTGGCTCAAATTCCATGTTTGAAAAACTTACAAATTTTGAATTTGAATTTGAATCAAATTCTTCTCATTCATAACAAAGCTTTATTTTAAATCCATGTGCCTCCCCTTGTCATTTGAAATTCAAGATTTCAAATTTTGGAATTGAAATACATGAATTGAAATGAAATCTTAACTGCCAAACACTACCTTAAAGAAAAGTATAAGTATAGAGGTCCTGTTGAGGCATTCAAATAAGTGAGGTATATATAATTAGACAAGGTTAAAGTTGAAGCACAAATTTATGTTATTAAAGCGCAGCAGCAGCTAGGGCCGCGTTTGGGATCATCACAACCTCAGCTTCACTTGGGTTCTTTCATGAACAGCTTTGGAATGTTTTCACATCAATGATTGAAACCATAACAAACACAGCCTAAAAGATAGAAAATGCAGGCTTCCATTCAAACAGCACACTACACAAATATATGCGGAGTATATAAGAGAGTTTTGAAAAAGAATTCCATTTTATTCCAATCCCTCAAGAAGATGACCAAAAGATGTCCACAAAATGTTTATGTCGAAAAAATGGGTTCAATTATGAAGCTAAACTAGACTAAAATTACAGTAAAGCACTCAAGTCTTCAAAAATGAGGCATGTATAACTGGGCTTAGAGAGTGAGATCTTTGGGGTCTTCAATAATCTTTGCAAAAGTTTGCAAGAAAGAGGCGAGATCAGAACCGTATATTATCCGGTGGTCTGCAGTAACATTTACCTGCAATATTTCGCGTTTCAACAGTAAGCATTCATGGGTATTGTTATTGCATTGAAGAATTAAACTTTTTACTGTCTTGGGTAAAATTTGGGGTATGAATCTACCTGCATTTGGTTCTTTTTACCAATCAACCCATCATTGGTGGCAACAACAGTTGGAATAGAAGCTCCCACGGCCATAATTGCACCCTACAAAAGTAGAAAGATGTTCTCGCATCAGTCGTGATTGAAAATCATTGATCCATATATTGACCAATTCAACTTTGGCAATATCAATTCCAAATCCATATATTTTGTGCTACCAAACAATAGAATTGGAATGGTTGTCTCCAATTGACCAATTCCATAGTTTGAATTCCGTGTACCAAACGGAGCCTTAAAGATATCAAAATTGAAACTTTGAACCCATATCTGATTCTCACCAAACGGGCCCAAAAAAGAACTGGGTGACAGTGTTTCACCAAAAAAGGGACTGCTAAAAAAAACCTTGGGTTTAGTAACATTTGTATAATAAAATGCTTACAGTTCCAGGAGGTAAAATGGCATCAAAGCGATCTGTTCCAAACATCCCTAGGTTTGAAAGAGTAAAAGTGCCTGCAATAGCAAAATCCAACAAAAATGAATCATTTTTCCCTGCTGTAATAAAACATCTCTTTACATGAAATTGACTATTCCCGGTCATGTATGTATATCAAGCAAAGACCGAGGGAGAGATTCATGAAATTTCAGAATCACACTTCAGAAGAATGAGTGAGGAAACCTCCCCATCGCCAACCCTTGAAGGGTATTTTAGTCAAAACCATAGCATTCCATGAACTTTTTCACGGAACCTGACTAAATTCATAGCAGAGTTGGACCAATCACTGTAGTTTCATTTTCACCATCAATTGTACTCCATTACCTACTGGGTTGTTGTTGGTGTAGTTGTGTTCCATTAAGAAAAATTGATATAATTACTCAGGTAGTCAGGGGCAACTAAAAAATCATAGTGGTTTTGTTTTAGCAACACAACACGCGTTCAGTTAAAATTTACATGCTGGAGATCAACAAGTAGCTTAGAGACACAAGAGCTGCCAATCCCGGCACTAGTTTTAAATCAACTATTCCCTTTTGATGACACTAGCTAACCAAAGGAAAATTTATTTCCACCAATTTCATTCCTACCAACCAATCATTCAAACATGTTTACCCTTTTGTAAAGAAATGACCCGAAGTACATCATAGTAACTCAATACCTGTGTTATATTCATGAGGCTGGAGCTGCTTTGCCCTGGCCTTATCAACTACCTCTTTCCATTTCCTTGACAATGAGTATATATCAACCTGGACGTTATATTAGAAATTCAAAATTGTTACAATCTTAGGATCCGTTTAGACTAAGGAAAGCAATAGTGAAGACAACAAAGAAAACATTTGAGGGAAAATAGAAAAAAACGGTTCCTCTTCATGCAGGTTCCAACTGTTGCCTTAAAGATTTAAAAAGGATCAACTGACCTTGTCAGCATCCTGAAGCACAGGAGTGATCAACCCGCCATCAATGGCCACTGCAACAGCAATGTTGATGCTACTGTTGTATGTAAAACTTTTCCCGTCTCTACAACTTGCATTCACAACTGGGTGTTGAACCAAAGCAAGGGCAGCTGCTTTTGCCAATAGTGCTGTCATTGTTACTCCTTTTGACTTGATCTTAAAACAAAACAAAGAAAAATGAATGCATCACTTGCTTTGTTCGTTTAAATCTCCTTTTGCCAATAGTGTAATCAATATTGTTGTGTAATATAGATAAAAAAAAAATACTTAGGACTCAGTTGGTAATAGCTATGCCATGGGCCTATGGCCGAATCCAAATACGCTGAATTTTCTAAAAGAAACATGTTCATTAAAATCAATTTTAACCAAACTGTTGGAGTAAAGTGGAAACTATTGTGATAATTTTGCTTGTCCAAAATACAAACTTCCAAAACATAGAATTATCATATTACAACACCATCAACAAAAACCTCCGTATAATCACAACTAAGATTGCTTCTGTTAGAAGCCTGAACTGTTGCATTTAATGTCAAAACTTCATAGAAAGTAAGCAGCAACGGAAGCTTAACCTTACTGTTCCATTTTGATTTTTCCCCTTTTTTACAGCTAAAACACTATCAACAATGTCTTTTTTAGCTTAATTAGCACTGGATTCACACAATAACCATATTAATGATATCAAATGACGAATGACTGCAGCAATGCCTCAAGAATGAAGGAATGCCATAAAGTTACCTTTTTGTATAGAGCATCGAGTGAATCCGTAGTAATGGTGTAACCAACCCTAAAGGTTGGCACACTCAAACTCTCCACCATATTCCTACTCACTGCACTCTGCATTGTAGAGAATGGCACTGCACTTCCCATCTCCGCCACCGGGATGCTCCTTTCCTCCCTGGCGGAGCCACCACTGACAGCAGCAGAAGGAGGAGCAACACCGGCAGCCTCAACATCCTTAGCAACTACCCTCCCACTTGGGCCGCTGCCAGAAACACCCCTCAGGTCAACTCCAAGCTCCTTCGCCAGCTTCTTCGCATATGGACTTGCCACCACCCTCTTCCCTCCCTCAGAAGCCGGGTGCAGGGAAGACCCCAGTTTCGCCGGCTCATCCACAAAACTGCCCTTCTGGGTCGGGTCAGGAGAAGGGTTGGGCGAATCAGCCACCGGAGGGGATGAATTCGCAGCTTCCGGCGTGACTTTTGAGCCTCCTGCGGCGGTAAGAGACGGAATTTGGGATTTGACATTTTCAATTTCCTCTTCAGATTCAGCCAATAGGGCGATTGTGGACCCGACCGGAGCAGAGCTTCCTTCGGGGACTATAATCGAAGCGAGATACCCGTCGTGGAAACACTCGACGTCCATGTCCGCCTTGTCGGACTCCACGACGACGACGGAGTCGCCCTTGGCGAGCTTGTCGCCCTCGGACTTGATCCAGCTCACGATCTTGCCTTCCGTCATGGTGGAGCTAAGCGCCGGCATGAAAATCTCTCGGATCTTCGATTTGACGACGTGGACACGGGTGCGGGACGCGGCAGGGGCGGCGGATGGGCGGCGCAGGGAGGCCGGCGCGGCGGGGACGAAGCTGGTCTGCAGAAGGCGCGACATTTTGGTCGGAGAGAATGTGGAGAGACGGGAATTGCGAGTCGGGTCCTAGGAACAATGGGTGGCGATGCGATTAAGAAGGGGAACCGGAAGAGGTTGCGGTGGGGGCGACGGAGGTTTCAAGAAGAAGAAGAGATTTGATTTCTCAAGGGAGTTAATGGCGATGTGATCGAAGCAGAGAGTGAGCGAGCAAAAAAAAGTGGGAATTCATGAGGACAGGGAACTACATTTAACGGAACTAATAGCCAAGGATTTTGCTATACAATAGTACAAAATGTTATTAATGTCATTTGCTTATACTCGTTCGTTTGGAACATTTACAGTGTTCTGTTGTTAAAAATGATTGTTTCTATTCCTAATCTCTCTTATTATAAAGTCAATTTGAAAAGAAAAGAAAAAAATATTTGACTAGACCACACATCTATATTTGTTAAGTGAGACGGAGGGAACAAATTATGTGCTCGAATCTAACAAAATAATCCCTCAGTCCCACAAAAAAGTTTCCATTTTGACCATAAATTGATCAAACAGTTACACGCTTTGATCATAAATTAAATATAATCTAAATAAAGAAATGCTAAAAAAATTTGGATATCAAAATTCTAAGATGAATCCAATTATATTAAATTTATTTTATAATTCAATATACCTTTCTCACAATTTATAGTCAAAACGTGTAAATATTTGACTAAATACTATTCAAAATGGGAACTTTTTTGTGGGACGGAGGGAGTATAATACAAAATGAAGTATTATTATATAATCATGTAAAAATTGAAGTATCTACTTTGCAAAATCATAATAATACAAATTGAAGTATTATTATATAATCATGTAAAAATTTAACTTCAAAATCAACTAAATGTTATGAAGTGCAATTGACGGGGAAGGAGGTGGTTTGAGCCGGGACCGAGAGAGGGATTTATCGGGAAGCTAGAGGGGTAAAAATCAACAAGTTTTCAAATGAAATACCAAAAGGGTTCCAAACAAGGCCCATGTCATAGGATGATATGGATGGTTAATGTCATTGGAAACCCTACAGAATACATTAGAGAGAATAAACTCTTTGGCTCTATTCGGTAAATGAAATTCAAATTATGAAATTGGAATTTGGGATAATAAATATAATTCTATTGTTGGTAGCACAAAAATATATGGATTTGGAATTCGTGGTACCAAAAATGAAATGAAATTGGAGAATTCATTTCCATCCAAATCAATTCTATGAAATTTCAATTTTCAATTTCAATTATGTGAATTACGTGTATCAAACGGGATCTTTGTGCTCAATTCTATGATTGCGTTCCGTTTGCTTGATCTGATATATGATCTAATTATAATAAGAATAAGTAATAAACAGAGAAAAAAATAAGTTAAATCCTACCTAAATTATGTGACCGGTCCTGTCCGCAACCCACGGCTTTTAATAAAAAGAATCCGCTTATAATAAAAGTGGTTCACCCAGAATCCGTTTGTTAACCGTTAGTTTAGTACTCTCTGTTCTTTCGAGTTTTCGATACGCACAAAGAAATCCAATCTCTTCTTCCTCGTTGAAACCTCCGCCCATCCGAAATCTCTACCAATTTCCTCTTCTTAATCGCATCGCCGGCCATTGTTCATAGGATCCGACATTCCGACTCGCACTTCCCGTCTTTCCAAATTCTCTCCAACAAAGATGTCTCGCCTTTTGCAGACCAGCTTCATCCCCGCCGCGCCGGCCTCGCTGCGCCGCCCATCCGCCGCCCCTGCCGTGTCCCGTACCCGCGTGCACGTCGTCAAAGCGAAGATCCGCGAGATTTTCATGCCGGCGCTTAGCTCCACCATGACGGAAGGAAAGATCGTGAGCTGGATCAAGTCCGAAGGCGACAAGCTCTCCAAGGGCGACTCCGTCGTCGTCGTGGAGTCTGATAAGGCGGACATGGACGTTGAGTGCTTCTACGATGGGTTTCTGGCGTCGATTGTGGTTCCGGAAGGAACCTCTGCCCCGGTCGGGTCCACAATCGCTCTATTGGCCGAGTCGGAAGAGGAAATCGAAACTGCCAAATCTCAAATTCCGTCTCTTACCGCCGCAGGAGGATCCAATTCGATACCGGAATCTGCTAATTCTTCAATTCCATCAGCTGTTTCTGTAGATTTGCCCGACCCGACTAAGAGCCCGACCCAGCATGGAAGTCCAGGGTCTGCCCTGCGCCCGGCTTCAGATAAGGGGAAGAGGGTGGTGGCAACCCCATACGCAAAGAAACTGGCGAAGGAGCTGAAAGTTGACCTGAAGAGTGTTTCTGGAAGTGGCCCGAATGGGAGGATTGTTCCTAAGGATGTTGAGGCTGCTGGTGGTGTTACTTCTGCTGCCCCCAGTGTTGTTACTCCTGCTGCCACCAGTGGTGTTACTTCTGCTGTTGTCGGTGGTGGCTCCACCACGGAGAAGAGGAGTGAACCGGTGGTGGAGTTGGGGAAGACAGTGCCATTCACTGCAATGCAGAGTGCTGTGAGTAGGAATATGGTGGAGAGTTTGAGTGTGCCAAGCTTTAGAGTTGGTTACACCATTACTACAGACTCACTTGATGCTCTATACAAGAAGGTAACTTTATGCCCTTCCTTTATTATTGAGGCATGAATGTTGTTGTAAAAATCTCTACTTTGACCCCATCAATAGTCATAGACTACCATTAATCAGCTCATTTTGTACGCCCATTGCTAATGGAGCTAAAAGAGTCCTTATTGACAATGTTTTAGGTTCGGGTTAAAAATGGAAAAAAATCTAAATCGATCATTATGCTTATGATGATTCTTACTTTGATCATATGCAGTCAGCCATTTTAGTTAAGTAGCCCGTGCCAAATAGGTCCTTTGATCCAAACTTTTCCCGAATTTTCTCCCCTAAGTGCTAGGCCCCAGTTTGAAGCATAGCTGAGGCCTTGTTGTGCTTTCAAGTTACAATCCAACAAGACCAGCATAGTTAATGGGCATCCCATTTCACTGAAAAGGGAACTCACCAAACCAACCTACCATTGGCTGCAGTGTTGCATTTTTTGTGTCTAAGGCTCCCTTTGGTAGTACACTTCTAATCCACACAATAAGCTGAATTTTCTTTTGACATAATTGGCTTAAATGAATGTCACCAGACAGTTTTCCATCAATATGTAGGAAAGAAAGTAGGAAATGGCTAGATATTCAAGTTATTTGGATGTAGAGAAGTAAGAAAGAAGTTGAAAAGAGGGTAAAATATGTGGGTGGTATATAAGCATATTTGTCATTAATAGCATGTAGTATGTAGTATGAAATGGAAGGATAAATATGTCATTCACTCTCTATCACTTTGTGGTTCAACTTAATCCCACCCCCACCCCCTTTCTCTTCCAAAATCATTCCATATATGGAGGGACCGCTTCTCATCCAAACAACCAAAAAGGTTAACTTCTTAACTTCTTTCCTTTATCAATTAAATTGAACAAAGACGTCAACAATGACGGCACTATTGGCTAAAGCAAGTGGTGCCTCCTTATTTTTATTTTGTTTTAAGATCAAGTCAAAAGGAGTTACAATGACGGCACTATTGGCAAAAGCAGCTGCCCTTGCTCTGGTTCAACACCCTGTTGTGAATGCAAGTTGTAGAGACGGGAAAAGTTTTACATACAACAGTAGCATCAACATTGCCGTTGCAGTGGCCATTGACGGTGGGTTGATCACTCCGGTGCTCCAGGATGCTGACAAGGTCAGTTGATATTTTTTTTCTAATCTATAAAGCAACATTAGAGCAGCCACCATGGTGAGGAAATTCCTCATGCGTGGACTTTGTTTAGGCGAGAAACAACCCATAGCGGTAAGGAAGACAAAACAATGCATGCGTTAGTATATTTTTTTACATGATTTGAGTTGAGAATTTCTACACAAAAAAAATGGAGAGAGATAGGGAGATGGATGAATGACTGAGAGGGAAAAAAATCTCACCGGTGGGATGCAGTTAAAAAAAATCCACAGAAAAAAAATGATGTGGAGGAGAGGAAAAGTATAACGAGAGATTGGTGAGGAAATTTTATTTTTCTCACTGGTAAGAACGCTCTTATGAACCTCAAAAGTGGTATGAAGAGGACCTATTTTTCTATTTTCCCTCAAATGTTTTCTTTATTGTCCTTATTTTCTTCTCCTATCATTTTCTGGTTCCAAACGGACACTAAGATTTTGACACTTGCATTTATAATATACCTTCCAGGTTGATATATACTCATTGTCAAGAAAGTGGAAGGAACTAGTTGGTAAAGCCCGGGCAAAGCAGCTCCAGCCTCACGAATATAACACAGGTATTGAGTTTGTGCTAAGCATCATGGGTCATTTGGTTACAATTGTATAAATGTGATTTTTTTTTGGGTGGGGGGGGGGGACTAGGGGACGGGGGAGATAGAGTGTGGTTGGGGTTGTGGGATTGTGAAGGCATACAAATGAGAAACATATTCTATTGTTTGCTTAACTATTTTAATCTCAAGGGAATAGTCAGTTTAAAACTAGAATGCTGAATCAGCAGCTCTTGTTTTTTTCTAAACTATTTGTTGGTCACAACCGGTAGTGAAAGTGATACTACATTGATTGATCAAGTCATCAAACTCTTCTATGACCAATTAAGTAAGGTTCCATGAAAGAATCAGGTAATGCTATGGATTAGACTAAGTAAGATACCCTTCAAGTGTCGGTGGTTGGGAGCTACCCTCACTCACTCTTTTGATGGGTGGTTCTGACATTTTCTGAACATTACCCTTCGTCTTTCTTCGATATACATACTTGACGGGGAACTGTCAATTTCATGCAAAATGATGTTTTATCACAGCAGTAAAAAATGATTCATTTTTGTTGTATTTTTCTGTTGCAGGCACTTTTACCGTTTCCAACCTTGGGATGTTTGGAGTTGATCGTTTTGATGCCATTTTACCGCCTGGAACTGTAAGCATTTTACGAATGAAAATAATTTAAAGGTGTCTTTTACGTGTCCTTGGTAAAAAGCCTTTGAGACAGCTTTGAGTTCCTGAGTCTAAATTAACTACTCAATCTTGTAAAAGGGTCTTTTGTACTTAAGTTTGTGGCCTTTTTTGGCAACTAGTTGTTAGCTATTAGCAGTTTAGTGGATTGACTTGATTCAAAAATCATGAAAACCAAGCTTGTGAAACAGCTGCTCTAAAAACTCTAAACAGCACCTCTAAAAGTTTTTAAATAAGCTGTTTGAGACAA